AAGCCTTCTTTAAATAATGGTCTTTACCCAGCCTCCAGATCCAGCACGGTAGACGACTCTGCTCTTTGGGGAAGGATCCATGTCTTTCGTGACAATGTACATGGGGTCAATGGGGGTGTCCGTTTCGTAAGTGACGTCCGTGACAGCGGAGAGGGCGTCGGAGTCATCCGAGGCGTACCCTGCAGGAGCTGCTGCCGTAGCGTCGACCGCTTCGGCCATGTCTTCAGCTTCGTCATCTTCTTGCTGGTTGTTTTATTCTGGTTTGGGCGAAGCATGTTTCCACGCATTGTAATCGCGGTTGGGAGTCTTTAAAGAATGAACAGGTAAAAGATTCTTTCATCTCTTAATAGATTGGCATATTTTTGTTGGCTGCATCCTGATCGTAGTCGCCTTCCGTCAACTGCTCGCCGTATGGCGCTGCATTCGGATCGGCGCAGCAACCCCGACCATCACCGCCAGACCAGACCCACGGCGCCTCCCGGAAGTTGGGGCCCCTCGACGGGCGTCTCACGGGGCGGCCACGCCCGCGGTCGGCGCGCTCGATGCACGCGCAAACAACGTCTCTGTAAAGTTTCCGTTCCTCGACGATGGCCCTCTTGAAGTCGCGCTTTATAAGGGCTTCTTGAGTTTTCGCAGCCCCGGCCCATTTTGAGCGAACGACCTTGCCTTCTTCATTTCGATCAACATTGCGAAGAGAATTCCAGCGACGAATCCGGCGCTCAGTCCAACCCTTGTTCAACCAGTGTCGCATTGTATCTGGGTCTATGCGCTGACGAGCCAATCCAGCATCCGAGAAGCCAGCAAGGCGCTGCATTTCGTCTTCTGGATACTCTTCGCGAGGTCCCCACCTTAAAGCGGGCGCCCCCGCAAGCGCCCCCTCCGCGGAGGAGCGCCAGGTACATTGCCCTTCCTTGGAAGGGGCCCTTGGCTTCCTCGCGCCAGGGGGATGAGGGCGCTGAGGGCCGCTAGAGCGCGCGAGCGCGCGGTCGGGCGAGCCGCTGCGGACCCGACCGCGACGTGCCAGACGCGCGTCATCTTCCCATTATTCGTCATCGTCGTCGGCGCGATACCTACGTCTCTCGGGGATCTTCTGACCCGGGTTAATCCAGACCCGGGTCAGCAGGAAACCGAAAACTGCAATACAGGAAAAAACTGCAACGCAGGTCTTCGCAAACCTGGGCCAGCCGACTTGCGCGGCCGCCTCGCGGCCACGAGCGGCTCGCTAACCCGGGGCAGCCAGAGGGGGTCTTCGCAGGATCCTGCGGGACCCGGTGCCGTGGTTGACCCCCGCTCGCACTGACCTCCGTCTCAAGGCCCCCGAGTCTCGGGGCCCGGCCGCTTGCCGGTCGCCCCTGGCGGCTCGTGGAGCGGTCCGAAGATGCGAATGCATATTGAAGTCCTTCGTCGTGGCCGAGCTCGCACTGGATGCGTTCAGACAGATCGCCGGCATCTCGCGGGCTTCCCCGCAGAGGGTCATCGTCACTCAATTCCATGTGTGTCGGATCACCAATAGCTCGAGGATCAAGCGTCAATTGTATCTCCTCTTCTGTTGCAGAAATAATGGCTTCTGAATCCGCGGGTGCCACCGCCATTTCGTCGCCTCCTTCAGCGGGCACGCGGTTTCGGCAAATTCAATATCGGCAGGTTGCCCCGCGACGGGTATACCCAACCAGTCTGCCAGATCAATCCCATTGCGGCCAATGAATATCTCCTCGAACAGCTCGTCGGCATAATCCTCGAGGGACATACTGGCACCCAAGTATCTGGCAGCCATGAAGTTAACAGCTGCAACTGAGCTGTCGGCAGGGCCGGCCAAAAGTGACTCCCAGTCAACATGCTGTATGTCCGAGTCAGTTTGAGCCAGATGTACCGACGGACCTCTGCCTCCCCCATCGCCCTGAGGGCATTCACGACGGAAGTTTCGAGTGCTATGGCAGATATCGCACTGCATAGTTTTACCGTTCGCATCCTTCGGGTTGCCCCGACGTCCCTTACCTTTTCCTGATCTATGCCTGTGGTTCATGCCTGCACCTAGGAGCATATCTTCATACTGCGGTCCGGTAAGGGATGCTAGAAATGCTAACATACCTCTGCCATGCAATCGCCGCCGTTTACCTTTACCCTTGCCTCGACCCTTGCCCTTTCCCCTGAGTGCCCGTCGGATAGTGCGCCGTACCTTGCGAACTGGCTTCCTCATGAACCACCTCCACCTGCGTTTATGTTTCTGGTATCTTAGGAATAATATTTGCGCCTGTTGTTCTTCCGTGAGGCACGCGGGCATGTCGGAGTAGCCTAGGGCGGTGGCCTCGTCGTCCGACGACGCGTCGGCGCCAGTCCCAGAGTCGAAGGCGGACTCAGCAGGCTGCCCCGCTGAGCCTATCAGGGTTGTGACTTGCGCAGGGGCCACCGCATCGGGCGGCCCCCGAAACCTGACCCAGGAGTCTCGCGACCCCGAGGCCGAACAACTAATCTAAGCCAGTAGTGTGGTGGTCTCTGTTGGTTGCGGATCGCAATTCCATGCGTTATTAGCAGGTTGCCCTACGTTTGCCTCAACGTGGACGGTCTGGGTTCGGTGTCCGTGACTGAAAATACCACCAATATTGCCGGGGGTTCTCTCAGCAATGTGAGCATATGACCTCATGCGTTCAAGTCGAGAGTCAAACTGTTGCTGGTCCCTCGGCACGTGGTGGTTTAGTGGTTGCAGGAGTTGCTGTGCACGCGACGTCCCCACTCCAAGCGCTCTGAATTAAATAACTGTTAGAATGTGGATGTTAGAGCCTGCCGTTTCAGCGTCATAGCGGGCTGTCTCGAAGCGTGCCAGAGTCTGGTCGATCCGTTCTCCCGCATGGACTCAGAAGCCAATGACAGCTGTACCAGACTTGAGTTGGCGTTCCTCTTCTAGGTTCTCGAACTACGCCGAAATGGATAACAGCTGGGGAACTCTCATGGCTATGGTCCGTGCGAGGCCCCCCAAGCCTCGCTGCAAGGCTGTAGCTTGTTGGGAGGGCGTCATGTTGCCTGTGGTCACGTTGATCCTGGCATGCACCTCGCGAACAAATTCGCGGAAGAGTACTTGACCGGACGGGCCCCAATGGGGGCCGGTCGTTCTTGTGTCGTCTCCGCCACGCATATGTCCCACCGCACACCCGATAATAACCCATGTGAGCCCAAAGATAAGAATACCAATCCAATGGCCTCGCAGGTCGTAGTCGGACGTGGTTGGTTGGGGTTTGCGGTGTGTGGTCGTAAGCCTGCGTGGGAGTGGAGGCGGCACAATGTCGTATCGCATGTTTCCATGCATTATGTCTTCGAAGAAGTTTCCAATTGGAGTAGGTGGGTGGACTTCAGGAGTGTAGTAGCGCAGGGATGTAGGACGCGAATAAGAGGCCTCTGCGTAGGCAGAGGTGTCACTGCAAGTGTCCTTGCTATGTTGCTTTGTTTTATACATTCCTCCGCGCAAACCCACTGCACCCTGATGTTCCACCACGTCAGTAGTCCACCAGATAGTGCCGTGGATGGTGAGGAGTAGAGCAAGAGCTGACCACCATAGGCCAGCTCCGCTACCAAGTTTGAAAGGGGTTGGGAGGCCCAACCAGCAGCTTCGCCTTAGGCGAAGCCAAGCTCCAGCTCTGTTGTACCGTAGTAGTGAGAGTCCCAGTAGTAGGAGGCAAGCCATCTCAAGCAGCTTTGGTATCCAAATAGTACACCTCGTACTGAAGTGTAGTCAGATCTGGGCGGCCGGCCGCTTGAGCCCAAACGGCCGCGGACACACGCTCGTTACCTCTAGCCTGTATCCCAGTTCACTTTAGAATCAAGATGGCTCTAAGATGGCCCAAGAGGCCCCCAAGAGATCTCAAAGAGGGCCAAAGAGGCCTCCAAGAGGGCCTACAAGAAGCCCCCGAGAGGCCAGAATCCTTGATGTCCCTCCTGTGCTTGAAGGATTTGGGCAATTGCTTCTTTTTGGCCTTCCGACGGCCCGAGACGGCCCAAGAGCCCAGAAAGATCGCCCAAGACGCCTCCAAGATGGCCCCAGAACGGCCCAAGAGGCCCCAAAGACTGCACCAGGAGGGCCCCCAGACGGCCCAAAGGCCCTCCAAGACGCCCAAGATGGCCTCCAAGACGGCCCTGGGGCACCTCAGAAGGCTCCCATTCGGCCCAAAGAGGCCCCCAAGACAGCTTCCGACGGCGTCAGACGGGCCAGGAGCCTGCCAAAACGGCCCAAGACGGCCCAAGAGGCCCCCAAAAGGTCTCCGAGACGTCCCAAGAGGCTTCCAAGAGGGGCCTCCAGGAAGCCCCCAAGAGGCCACAATCATTGATGCCCCTTAGGTGCTTGAAAGAGTTTGGCAATTTTGTCTGTTCGGCCTTCCGACGGCCCGACACGGCCCAAGAGCCCAGAAAGATCGCCCAAGAGGCCCCCATGATGGCCCCAGAACGGCCCAGGAGGCCCCCAAAACGGCCCCAAGAGGGCACCCAGACGGCCCAAGAGGGCCTCCAAGACAGCCCTGGATCACCCCAAGAGGGTTTCAAGCCGGCCCAGAGAGGCCCCCCAAACTGCTTCCGACGGCGTCAGACGGACCAGGAGTGCCTTGAGACGTCCAAAGAAGCCCCCAAAGGCCCCCAAGAGGCCCAAGAAGGCGCCCAAGATGCCCCCAAGAGGCTCCCAGCCAAGAGTGCCCCCCTGAGGCTCCCAAGATGCCCCCTCCTCCTCCTCCTCCTCCTCCTCCTCCTCCTCCTCCTCCTCCTCCTCCTCCTCCTCCTCCTCCTCCTCTTCCTCCTCCTGACATTCCCCGACGTCGTCCCCAAAACGTTTCCCGAAGGGTTTCCTCAACGGTTGGGGGAACGCATGGTCCGATAGTTTGGCAGAGCTCTTGCCACAACACTCGGCCAAATGGGCGACTTCAAAAGGCAGGGGGCGGCGGTGATTCGCCGTAGGCGTTCGATATCAAACGCGAGGGTAAGAAACACGTGGGCGGATTGCCAGGCGCGCGCGGCTGCGCGTCCTGCGTCGAGACGGGCAGCCGCGCCGTATCCTGCCGGTTACCAGGACTATATTATTCCCCCCGAAGAAGAGGGGACAAAGATCAATGACCACGAAAAAGGCCAACGAGACGGGGGAGAAGAAAGACGATGCGATGGACACTGATAACCAATCGGAAAATGCATTCACGCGTCAGCATTACCCATGAACCTACCAAGCCCACAGTGCGCAACAAGTGACAACATTAACGGGCCCGTCCTGCACAGATGAGGATACGCCAACACTCGCGATCCCTCGTGAAGATCACACAAGAAGCCGATGCGTTGCACGCCCACGGGATAAACAATATACTATAATGAAAATGCAAGAAATGGAAAGGGTAATCGATGGCCGCCAGGATGGCGCCAAGAGCGCCCCCAAGGCCTCCAAGAGAACATAAAAAGAGCCCCAAGAGAGCCCCAGCAGCCTCCAACATTGCCCCCAAATGACCCAAGTAAGTGCGAACGAGGTCCCAGGTCGAAGGATCATCGAAGGCATGTGTGGTTGACTCCTGGACCCGCTAGGCGGTTCTCGACCGTCAGTTTGAAGGATGCCGCCCCTCTGTTTTCCACAGCGGGGTCCCACACTTTCCTGAACAATGCAACCCGCCTGGTGATTAGTGTTGGATGGGCTGGTGGGGACACGTTCACCGTCAAGAACTGGCAACACCTGGGTAGGCGAGGTCTGGCTTGGGTACCCGTAGAACCACGCTCCGCTGGAGCACCAGGGAGCTCACGAAAGTGGCGACGGTGGCGCAGTTGACACCAGCCAGGGAGCCCCGCAGGACTGCACTGCGCTGGACCTCCCAAGAGCTCGTGAAAGTGCGGACTGTTGCGCACTTGGCAACACCCACGAAGGGTCCCCATAGCCCCGCACCCCGCTGGACCCCCAAGACCTGAAGGAAGTGGCGACAGTCGCGCAATTGGCAGCACCCACGGATTCGAGGTCTAGTTTCGCTCCCCGTACCTCCGCTCTCCGCTGGACCTCCCAGGAGTGCACGAATGGCAATTGCGCAAGTGGCAGCACAAGGGACAAGCGAGGTTCCGTTTCGTGTGCCGACACGGCCTCAACTGGGGCTTTGGGGCATGATCCGTGCAAGGCGCGTGCCGAAAAGGGCGGAGGGACGCTGTGCGATGCTTGTCTCACGGTCCGTCCGCGGGGTGCGCCGACGCGGGCGGGGGGGGCACCATGAGACTATGCGGTACCTGTCCCTGGGGCCGTAGATGGAGTTCTCTGCGGGGCACGAAAATGCAAGGGGTGTTCCAGCGCTGGCTTTAGCAGGAATGCTATCCGACACTTGCCTCCGAGGCTTCAGGCGCAGCTTCCTGCGAGGCCCGACACGTGCGAGGATTATGCCGACACGGGCGGGGTGACGCTATGCGATACCTGTCTCCGAAGCCGTGGGTGGAGCTCCCTGCTGGGCAAGATCCGCGCGAACGTCGCGTGATACCTGTCTCGGGGGCCGTAGATGGAGCTCCCTGCGGGGCACGACACGCGCGGGTGTGAGACGAAATGGGCAGGAAGGCGTGCCTTTGGGGCCGTGGGTGAAGTTTCCTGCAGGGCACAATTCGGGCGAGAGGCGCGCGTGAACGGACGAGGACAAGAAGGGGAGGAGGCATGGGGGGGAGGAGGAGGCGAGGAGGCGCATGAGGCGAGACGCGCGGCGGTCCGCACTCAAAACGAGAACCCAGCGACGCAGGATAATTGGGACAACCACGGCGTGAATAGATGTGTGTGCAGGCGGGGGTTAGAGCGGTAGCTCATCGGGAAGAAAGGGGAGCCACAACATGCGATGGTCACTCACTCTGGGCGCTGCCCCTTCTTACTCCCTCTACTCGTTGGCCAAAGCTGTTGACAGAGCTTCGAGTGCCTCGAGACAACGGCACCAGCATGTGCGAGCCACAGGGCTCACCCCGAGGCCACGGCAGAATTCACACCTCGAGTGTACCACCGTCGTCCAACGACCGGGGTCAGAACGCCGCCCCAAGAGGGCCTCGAGGGGGAGCAGACTCGCACCACGCTGTGCCCAGAAGCCCGAGAAGAAGCTCTCCACTCCAAGAACACCCAAAAGCTCAACAATGTGTTCCGAAATATGGCTGAAGGCCGTCCACAACATTGTTCAGAGTCGCACCTGGCCTAGATTTGAGGTTACTTGCAACAGTAAGCCCGAGCGCGGGCAATCAAGGTCTCTGAGAAGGTCTGGAGCGAGGAACGGGTGGCAGACAGAGAACGCATTTCGGCCAAAATCGGGGCCCCATCTTGAACGTAAATCTTGCTGTCTTCATGAGCTCCAACGTCCTCGGAGCACACTTTAGGCAAGTCGCCTGACAGCAAGTATTCATGCGTAGCCCCGCCTCTGCGCAAATTTTTCGGGACAAGGCCGAGATGCGTGCACCCGATTGTCGCAGGCCAGTGCGAAAGAGCAAATGAAAGGCACGAGGAGACGAGGGCCATAAACGCCCGTCACGCTGCAGCTGCATATGGACGACCGCTCCCACGAGCGGGTCATCTAGCGTCACCGTCTCTCGTGCTTCCTTTTTGACAGGCTGTCTTTGTCCATGGCAACGACACGACGTCTCTGCCGCAAGGCTAGAGCTGAATGGCGCTGCTGGAGAGGCCGAGAGCCTCGCCTGTCCGAAGGCAGAGGTGGAAGCCCGCGAGGATCGTCGCGGCGAAGGCGATCTCACCACGGCCCAGCGCCCAGCCTGCGAGCGCACTGCATACCAGCGGCGGCATCGGTGGCGCCCGCTGCGGCACCTCTAGGCGTCCCCCAGACCGACAGCAATCTCCACGCGCCAGGGTACTGCTGGCGCGTCCTCAACAGGTGCTGCACCAAACTCAGTGTAACGTTAGCTTGACCTCTGGTGGCACCTTCGGCGCACAAGTATGCAAGGTAATTGTGTAATGTGACATCCGCGTCTTCCCCACTGTACGGCAACGGCAGATTCATGGCGTTAGGATGGCCAACAAACTGCTGGGCTGCTCGACGGAATCTAGCGAGAGCGGCAGCGCCGATCTGGGCATCCCGCAGCTTCGTCAGGCCAGCTCTGGCCGTGCGCCTGTCGGCGGGGCTAGACCGCTTCCCCATCCTTCAGGCGCGACGGCGCGTCCGCGGGGTTCCGAGCAGATGAGGTGAAGCCGAATGCTGCCCGCGCGCCCATCGCCAGCTCCCAGAGAAGCTGCGCACAACCTTGTTGAGCTGACTGCTGCCGGAGCGGTGCTTCGAGAGCGCACCGACGTTGACCATGCTGTCGAGGAGGTGCAAGAAGACTCGCTGTTGTCGGCTCAACGATCGAGCACGCCATCGAATCATCATCAGCGCGCCCTGGCACTCCAGCACATTGATATGTTCAGGAACATCCCAAACCAGCTGTCGTGCCTCACGCCATTGCCAAAGACCTGCATCAATCTCTTGCCGAGGGAAAACTTTGCTGAGCTCCTCAGAGCTCCCGTCACCACGAAGGTCCGCACCATTGCTGTGGCACGCCATCACAAGACCCATCACCAGCCTACGCGAGACATCCGCATCACGCCAGGACGTAGCATCGCGTTTGGCCAGTTCTGCAAGCAGAACATCTGCATGACATGCCTCGGACTGACTGCAGTGGCAGACCAGCTTGGCGCCGCGCAGGTCCTCCAGGCGGCGAAGCAGCTCGGGCTGCTTGCGCAGCCATCCAGCAAACAGCGCCACCGCGTCCTCGCGGGAGCAGCTCGGGCCCACTGCGAACGGGCTGCCGAAACACGACGGGGCAAGGCCCCAGCGCCGTGAGCCGCGGCCGACGTAGACGAGCCTGCCAGCCGCCGCCGGCGCCGCCGCGGCGGGCCGCTCGCCCGCCCGCTGCCGCTTGGCCGATGCGGCTGCGCTGCAGGCCATCAGCTCGCCGCGGACCTCCGCGTCGACCTCCACGCGGCTGCGTCGCAGCGAGGCGACGTCGCCAGCCCACAGCTTCCGCCCGCCAGCCCAGGCCCGAGTGCTCTCGCGCAGCTCGGAGAAGGGCGGCACCGCCACCAGCAGCCCAGCCGCGACAGCCCAGTGCGCCAGCAGCCACGCCACCACCTCGCACTGGAACGAGTTGCCGACCAGCGAACGCCTCGACCCCTCGTACTTGCCGGGCTCGGCCTTCGCCGCACTGCTGGTCATGCAGGGCGCGGCGTGGCCTTCGGCGAAGCCCATCAGCTTCTCCCTCATCACCGCGTCAGGAGGCGCGATCCGTCCGTCAGGCCAGTGAATGCACCACTTGTCACGGAACTGGTAGGGCGGTGCCGCAAAGGCGGCCTCCTCCCAGCGCGTCAGCTCAGCAGCCGTGCACTCCCCGATGCCCGCGGGCCTGGGGCGCGGCTGCGAGCGCGGCGCCCAGCGAACGAACGTTGGGAGGGGCTCGCCACCCTCCGCTCCAGGGCAGCGCGCGCCAGCCGGCAGCCACTCCTCCAGCGGCGGGCGCTCCACCTCCAGCGACAAGCGGCACAGGCGGCGAGAGGCGCCGCCCTTGGTCAGCACCATCACGGTCTTGGCCTCGCACGACGGCAGCAGGTCCCAGGACGGCCAGTAGAGACGAGGACGCCTCACCCAGCCGATGTCACCAGCCTCAACCTCCAAGGGGGCCCGCTCGAACAACCCGCTGAGGTGAAGGACGTCGGACTCTGCCATTGATGCTACATTTTCCAAGGAAGTCAACGCTCACCTCGGGCATGGCTGCGCGCAGGCCTCGGATGACCCTCACCATGTGATCGACCAGCGAGGCGCGCGAGTCCGACGAGCCCTTGCGGTCGACGTTCAAGCTCGTGTAGATCTGGCACGGGAAGCCGCCGATGACCACCACGCGGGCGATGCGGCCACGGGCTCGCAGCAGACCAGCCAGGGCAGCAGGGTCAGCAGATGTAACATCTCCGAGGTGCTGCGTGCCAGGGTAAGCGCGCCGCGCGACGCGAACCGCCTGCGGGTCCACCTCGAACGACAGGTGCACCGCTGGTACCAGGCCCAGTATCTCGAAGGCTCTGCGCCCGCCGCCGATGCCATCAAAGACGGTGATCAGGGCGGTCTCCTCCTCGCAGGCGGCGTTAGCGGGCCGCTGGCGCCTGCCCGCAACGACGCGCCCGCGCTCGGTAAGCGCCGTGCTGTGCACCACGGCTCCAGCGGCCTCCGACGCGTCCGACGCCGTCACCAGGTGGTCGACATCGAGCCTCATGTCGGCCACGCAGAGCCCCGACAGGGCTAGGCACATCAGCGAACCCAGCGCCCAAGAAGAATACGTATCAATCGCATGCTGGCTCGCCTTTTGCCCAGAACCCAGAGCGCGAGGCTGGCCATCTCAGTAATGTATCCTGCAGGTGGCCGACGGACACCCTCAACGCCATCAACAAGCTCGCCCAGAGTGGTGGCGCGCACCACGCGGTGCAGGTCCTCGCCCGGGGAGCCAGGTGACCCTGCGGCCTCGTAGCAGGCCCGAGCGTCAATCAGCAGCTCGGGGACCGTCCCGCGTAACTTGTCGGCCTCAGATTTGTCGACGATCTCGGCGATCTCTAAGTTGTCGATGTACATCATCCAAGCAGGCGGGCAGGGCTTCTCTGCACCAAGCGGCAGGCGGCGGCGCCGGGTAATCTCGCAGCTGGCGCTCAGGCCGCGAGGCACCGCGCCGCTGCGGCGCAGCATGTTGCGATGAAGATGAGTCGTGACCCCCACTGCGCTGATCCAGCCCATGCCGATTACCCGCAGGCAGATGTGGGTAGCGCCGCCGCCCTTGAGGCCCAGTAGGCGCGACGGCACGGGCGGCCCGATCACCATGTGCGGCCACCACGGCGGCGGCGCACGGAAGACGTAGAAGAAGGCCTTCCTGTCGGCGCCGCTCCACAGCAAGTCCTCGGACTCCGTCAGGACCAGGCCGTTCAGCTGGCTCATCGTCGGCATCTCGGGCGCGTCGCCAACGATGCACTCTTGGCAGGCGTTCGACGGGATCAGATTGGCGATGGGCCTGAGCACGGGCCTCAGCACCCCGCCCTGGCACTTGACAGGGGCGTCGTCGGCCTTCGGAACTCCAAAGGCTCCGTTCAGCAGCGGCGACCCATCCCGGCACGCGATGTCAGGCGCGGAGATCGGGCCGACCATCCCGCGCCCATGCAGGGCCTCAACGATGCGATGCCACTCGCCTTCCGAGGCCCAGACCCGCGCCGAAGTCGGCGCCGCGCGGCGCAGCGCAGGCGGCAGCAGCACCAGCCCAGGGTCCAGCAACGCGTCCCGCACGAAGCCCGTCGCGACGTCGGCCGCCTCAATCGAGGCCGCAACACCAGGCGGCGGTAAGCCGTCCAGCACCTGCTCAGAGGTCAGCTTGTGAGGCGCGGTGATCTCGGCGCCACCGTAGCCGATCTTGCGGTCCTTCAGGCGGTCCTCCCAGTTGAGCTCCGCAGGCAGGCTGGTCTCGATGCGCGTCGCCAGGTACAGGCGGCGGCCCAGGGCCGCCAAGGCTGCCCGCTGAGCAGCGTTCGGGCGCCTGCGGCAATGGCGCGCGAACTTCAGCGAGCGAAAGCCTGCCTCCCAGTTGAGCGCCAGCACATTGACAACCAGCCTGCAGTGGAGTGCCTCCCAGTTCAGGTCGCTAAGGTCATCGCCGTCGCGCACGACGTCGGTCTTCACGATGGTAGGGAACGGTGACGGCAGCAAGTCACGTTGCAGCCGACCTCCCATGGTGGCCATATGCTCGCGCAGCTGAGGTTTGAGGGAATCGCGGACGTAGCGACCGCACGACCCAGGGAAGTCCTTGACGAGGTTGAGCAGAATTGGGCCCACGTCATAAGGCTCACGGAGCAAATCGCCAGCAGCACCAGCAAGCTCTCTCCAGTCCCCCACGGGATCGTGTCGAGAAGAATCGTCATCAGCAGTGGGAGACGGCAACCCCAGCGGGGCCGCAGCGCAGTGGTCAGGTAGCGAACGAGACGGCGAGGCCCCAGGCGGTCCGCACGGCGCAGCAGCCTGCAAAGGAGCGGCTGCTGCAGCCCGGGCGTCATCAGCAGGGGCATAGCCACCACGCGCTTTCACCGCGCCGCCGCCGGGGGGGCGGCCCTGCGGCCGCCAGTCGGGCGGGGCCGCGAGCCGTTGGCTCTCCCCGCGTTGCGCCCCCTGCCGCCGCGGCGTCTCGGGCGACCGCGCCCTCCTCCCTGGGGCGCCGCCGCCGCCGCCGCTGGCTCGTCCTGCCTGAAGGCGTGGCGCTCGGGGCTCCCCGCCAGCGCAACTCGGCGCGGGCGAGGGCTGTCTCCTCGGGGGGTCCGCTCCGCCTGAGGGGGCGGAGTCCGCGCGCGGGGGCCTGAGGGCGCTGCGGCGGGCCCCTCCTCGGCCCGAGGCGCTGCGGCTGGCGACCCTGGAGCGCGAGCGGGCTGCTCCCTCGGAGCGGGAAGTGGCGGAACCGTCCGCGACCTCGACCCTTGCCCTTCCCGCGCGAGAGTTCCCGCGCTGGCTGAAGCGCGGGTCGAGAGGGGGAGCGCGGCCGCTGGTCCTCCCGCGCCCCCCCCCATCGGGTCACCCGCGCCCCTGGCCGCGGCCGAACGCCCCGAAGGCTCCGCGGCTCTTGGCCTCCTCCAAGCGCCTCCGCAGCGGCGCCGAGCGCCGCGCCAGATCCTGCTCGTCCATCGACGCCAGCGACGGCCTCACGTCTGGGACGATCTCGAGCTCGCTCGCAACCTGCCAGCCCGCGTCCGACAGCGAGAGCTCTAGCGCCTTGAACCTCTGCATCAGCACGTCGCTCAACTGCGGCAGAGCGCCGCTCTCCAACTGGTCCAGCGCCGTCGCCAAGGTCTGGAGCTCGCGCACCGCGTTGATCCGCAGCTGGGACACGGGGTGGTGGCCGAACACGATGGCCTGCAAGTAGCCGACCACCTTCGGCCGCGTCTCGGAACCGTCCGGCCCCCTCCCGCAGGCCCATGACGCGGGCGATGTTCTGCATCGCCTCGTCGTAGAGGGCGCCAGGCTGTCTCTCCGCCAGCAGCCGTACGCTGCCGCCGCGAGAGGGGTCATCCCGAAAACGCGGCTCGCCTTCGCCGTCGCTGCGGCTGACAGACTCACTGCGAGCCCGTCGCCTGCCGCGGCCAGCCACGCCGCGGCCGCCACCGCCTCCGACCGCAAGCGCGCGGGCAGCTGCTGCAGCTGCCAGGCGGTCGGCGGCTGGTCCGCCAGGGATGGGAGCGGGACCGCCTCGACCAGCTCCACCACCACGGCCGCCGAAGGCGCTCGGGCGCACCCAGGGCTCCACCAGCCCGCGCGTCGAGCGCAGCCGCAGCCACTCCACGTGCAGGACGGCGCGCCCCGCCTGCGCAGGCTCCCCACACCGCGCAGGCCCCTGCGCGCAGAGGTGCAGCAGCCCGGCAGGACCGCCGCCGCGCGGAGGGAAGGCGCCGTCAAAGCGCGTCGCCTCGGCAGGCAGCGACGCGCCCCTGAACTGCACCGGGCACGCCGACCTCGTCGATCTCGAACAGTGCGGTTCCACTGATCGCCCCCGCCACGTCGTGGGTCGGCAGCTCGACGGCCAGGCCCTGGCTCCAGTTGGCCCCGACGAGGGTGGCTGCCTGCGTCCAGGCTCCGTCGACGAGCCCGCCAAGCTGCACCCCTGCAGCCGGGACGACCGCGCCTCCCAACACGCCGAAAGCAGCGCCCGGTCCCGCGGGCCCCGCGCCAGGCGGCGCGCCCGCGCCTCCAGCTCCGCCAGCGCCAGCAGCGGCCAGCGCGCCAACCAGCGCCGCTCCGACGTCGCCGCCGCCGCCGCCGCCTCCAGCGCCGTCGCCAGGCGCCCCGAGGACAGGGGGGGGCGCGCCCGCGGCGCCCGCGCCAAGGGCTCCAGGCAAGCCGGGGAAGCCGCCGAGCCCTGGCACCACTGGCGCCCCAGCCGCGCCGCCTCCAGCGCCTCCGCCAGCTGCACCTCCAGCCGCGGGCGCGAGGCCGCCTCCGAGGCCGACGGGCGCACCTGCCGCTCCAGCAGCCGCGCCTGCGCGCCCGCGAGCGCGCCGTCCTCCGCCACGTCCAGCGCCTCGGCCGCGGGCGGCAGCGAGAGGCACAGGAAGAGCCTTCGCCTTCGCCTTGGCCTTGGCCTTGGCCTTGGCCTTGGCCTTGGCCTTGGCCTTGGCCTTGGCCTTAGGCGGCATCGGGCGACAAGGTCGACAGAGCTGTAATCTGCGCCGCCAGAACGGATTCCGGCAACCTCCAGAAACCCGCCCGCCTCGATGCGACGTCTAGGACCGTGCACCCCGAGCTCGAGAGCGCCCAGCCCAGCTCAGCAAAGGCTGGGCCGCTTGCTTTGATGGCGGGCAGTCGAAGAATGTCCGCGCCCACGCTGGGTAGCATTCGTCTAATCTGGAAGGGGGCCCGTCCGCAATGGCGTAGAGACACTTACCAAAGCTGGGGGATGGACTGGTCCTGACTCAAAGATCCCAGCGGCCGCGGCCATGGGTAGGAGGAAAAGAAGGAGGAGGACGACGACGCACAGGAGCAGGAACAGGAGCAGGAGCAGCAAGTGCGAGAGGCGGAGGAGCAGCAGCATGAGGGTATGGAGGACCAGGAACACGAGGATGAAGAGGAAGAAGACACAACATGAGAAAAGAAGACAAGAGAAGATACGAGGACGAGGATGATGAGGAGTACGAGATAATGGGAATGAGATGGAAAGAAAGAGAAGAGTCGATGTGATAAGAGAAGAGAAAAGGACGCGAAGATACTTCCACTGCCCCCGACGGTACGCCCAGTGGGGACGAGCGAGGAGGAGTGAGGAAGAGAAATGAGACGACGACTAAAGAGAAAAAAAGATGAGGAGAAGGACTGAGGAGGAGAACAGGCGATGAAGGAGGAGGGGGTAAGAGGACTGCTCCTCCGAGCGTAACTTCCGGACTGCGCAAACCATCGCCGTCACCAACACCGCGGCGCAGGCCCCCGCGACGCCGGACCAGACCGCCCGCTTGGGGACGCCTGCGGGCGGCGGAGGGTGTTCGATGGTGTTCATACCCGCTGTTCGAGACCACCCCGAGATGGCCCCGGGAGCCACCCAGAACACACGTCCCTGAGGGGGGGCACAAACATGCCAGGTACAGCAAGCGAATACGATAGGAAACCTCGCTACAAGAAATCCAAGGGCACAATTACCATCGATCGTTAAGCTTCCCGAAGTGCCCCATGGGTTCTGCAGGTCCCCGGGGCCAGCGGGGGATAAGAAACGTCCTTTCGGCACCTGGCCATTTCTTATCTGACGTGCCGACTGAATGCGCGGCTGCGCACATGGATTGTATGGTTGCCATTCTGTCTTTCAACAAAAGTGAGCAAAGATACTTCCGGGGCAAGTGTCAGAAGCTTCCGAAGGGTTCTTCAAGGTGTCCAGTGGCTTCCTGGTGCCACTCCTCTCTCGATATCCTTCTCTGTGTCTCACTGCTTTCCACAATTGGCGAAGGCTTCCGAATGGGTCTCGAAGCTTCCAGGCGAGTCGAAATATTATGTGAAATGCAATGCTCGGGGACACGCACTGATTTCAGCACGAAGATCATGGGATCGAACGTTCACGACTAGTTCTGAATGGCTCGAGCAGTACCCAGAGTGTCCTCATCTGCGTGTCTGCGTGTGAGGCTCGCCGAGTGGCCCAGAACCCATTTGAGCTCGGCGGCTGGGCGCGCGGCGAATCTGGCGGAGGGTCCCACACGCGCGGGCGCGGAAGACAAAGAGCGAGAGCGAGAGAGACAGAGAGGAGATAGCGCCCCGCTGTGGGCAGCGCAACAGTGCCGCCATAAACACCAAGGGGCGGGGGCCTGGCTTGCGGTGGCAACCGGAGCTGCGGCAAGTCGTGGAGGACCCCGAATCGCAAGAAGGTGAAAAAGGAGCACGCCGCGCGGGTAAGGAGGCCCTCTCTTCAGGCATACGGGCTGGGCCCTCCAAGAACATTCGCCGAAGAAGACAAGCAAGCCACGTCTTTCTGAGGACGCGCTTCACTGCTGAAAGACATCTCGAGAACCCGCTCGGCAGCTCGACTACCTTCACAGACCAGACGTCTTTCAAAGATCAGGCGAATGCAGAGGTCCAGACCAAACCCAGAGCGATATGTGAAAGCAAAGGAGGAGGTTGGAGCAAGGGCGAACCAAGTGATCTTTTTCCGGTCTGCGTGCCGGGACCCGGCAGCCCAGCCAGACAACGCATTGCGCTACAAAGTGCGCTTATCGAGCGCGTCGGTGACAAAGAGCCGCGGCTGTATGCGAAGCGGTGTTCCGAGGTTCTGCAATGCTCAAAAAGGGCATATCCTTGAGAGCCGACTTGCTCTCACGTGTATCCAATAAGAGAACGCAGCCCACTGCACGAGACGACCTTCGCACTTGACTTAGTGGCGCACGCCGACGCAACAGACCATTCAAGGGTGCAAAGTCATGCCGATCTTCAACCATTGAGCCCGTGTTTCCCCAGCCTTGCCGTCCCCTCTTCCCTCCCCAGCCGTGAGGATGAGGAGGCAGCGGAGGAGGAGGGAATGGAGGAGAACGGAGGAAGAGGCGAGAAGGGAGAAAGAGCGAGGAGTAGCGAAGAGCAGGAGGGGGAGCACCTGCCATGTTCGACGGCATGGAACATCCAACGAATCATCCACCAGCGACGCCATGGAGACGACAACGCCCACAGCCGACCCGCCGCGGGCCATGACCGAAGCTGCGCGCCTGCCATGAACTCGCCGTCGGCCCACGGTGGGGCGGCCCACGATGCCGAACTCGGCGGTGGAGCCTGCGGGGAGCGCACAACGTGCTCGTCCCAAGGCGCCGCTTCGGAAAAAAAATGCGCCCTGCGCGTTCCCACTATCCTTTTCACCTTCCAGGTCCCTCCCCTTCATCCCTCCTCCTCCTGCTCCTCCTACTCCTCCTCCTCCTCCTGCTCCTCCTACTCCTCCTACTCCTCGTCCTCCTCCTCCTACTCCTTCTCCTCCTCCCCCTCCTCACCATGCATCAATCAATCACAATGTGATCTATAATTTACATAAATATACAGCACAACAGGATGACAGCTGGTAACTTCTTGGAAGTGCTCACAGTGCGCTTCACCAGCGGACCCAATGACGCCTTCGAGGCCTCCACAGAACGGTGCGGGGCCTCCTTCGGCACAACTTCTGCATCATCGCCAACCACATCTTGTCATCGATGCTCCACAAACTCCCCCCCCCCGGACCTGTAGTCCAGACCAACCCCATGCGGAGACACTTCCGATGCCTGTAGTGGTGCCTACTACAGGTACTGCGGAGGACGAGGAGGGGGAGGAGGAGGAGGAGGAGGAGGAGGAGGAGGAGCAAAGTGGCAGAACAAAGAAAGAAGGCCCACGAAGAAGAGTGGAAAGCGCCCGATCATGCCTCCAATGGGTCGAGCTGGACAAATACGGTTTTAACTGCGACGCCTTGGGTCTAAGTTGCGGTCGAACTGCAACAGGGCTGCTGTTGATAAAAAGCACCAAGGCGCAAAGAATGGCGGGAGGACGGGAGAGGCCACGGACGGCCCAAACGCCCTCAGAGCATGAAGCATACCGGGCTGTGCCAGAGCAGGCTCGCGTCCTGGTAGCTGTCGGTGCGCCTCAGCGGTCGGCACATCCAGGTACAGGAGGTGAATCGTGCAACTAGGTCAGATGAGACATGTTAGCCAGCGTGGACCCAAACAGTATAATATTGCACTCCGCCTACAAGGTATGTAGCGTAAGCGGGCTTCAAGCTACGGGGTGCAAGCTAAGTAGTGCAAGCTATGTGATGAAGGATATCTGGCGCAAGGTTTGTGGCGCAGGCCGTTGGATGCAAGCTGAGTGGTGCAAGCTAACCGAGACGGGTCTTCAGACCCCCCCCCCAAAAAAAACAGTGGAAAACAATTGTCGTTTCGACGCCCTTGTTGACGGACTGGGGTCCCACCAATAGTGGGGAATTGCGTATTTCTCCGCGGCACCCGCCGCGCGACAACTACTACGACTACGATTACGACTACAAGCACGAGTACGATTGCGACTACAAGCGCGACTACAAGCACGGTCAGACTCACGATTACAGCCATGACTACAATCACGACTACAACCACAACCACTGGTTCATATTGCAACCCTCCTGAGAGGATGCTCACACATCCGCTTGCGTGCAGGCTCACTCACACTGGGTTATTCCCTGGGAAGCAACTCCCCAACATTGTCCAGACCGCCCCACAATAGAAGGAAACTAATCTCCGCCGCGACGTCGACGAAAACGACTACGATTACAACTACGATTGCGACTACAACACACGGCTACGATTACAACTACAATCGCGACTGCAACCGCGATTCCAATCGCAGTTACAACCACCACCGCTGATTCAGATTGCAATGTTGATGAACAAATGCTCACACATCTTCTCGCGTGTAGGCTCGCCCACAATGGATTATTCCCTGGGAGGAAGAACCCTCCAACATATTCCAGCCCGCCCAACAATAGAGGGAAAATAATTTCAGCCACGACGACGACGACGACGACGACGACGACGACGACGACGACTACCATAATGACAACAAGGAGGAGCGAGCAGCAGCAGGAAGAGTGGGGGAGTTGGAGGAGGGGGAGCAGGAGGAGGAGGAGGAGGAGGAGGAGGAGGATAAGGTTCAGATTTGTTCCCCGCCGAGGAAAACAGGGCGGGAAACCCAAAACCGAAGACCCTTCTCGGCTACATGGTGCAAGCTATGCGGTGCAATACGTGTGCGTGTGTTGCAAGCTATGCGTTGTAAGTTATGTGGTGCAAACGTTGTGCTGAATGCTATGTGGTGCAAGTTGCGTGATGCGAGCTATAGGTTGCAAGCTGACTGGTGCAAGCAAGCTTCATGGAATCAGCTATCAGCTATGTGGTGCAAACTCTGCGGTGCAACCACGGACGGGAACGGAGCCGCTGGGCACGCTAACGGGTTTTTTCTTGGGAAGGATGGGGCGTCGACGGACGGGAACGGGGCCACCAGGCCCGCAGAGGGGCCCAGTTCTTCAGAAAGATGCAGGAACCCCCAAGTGCAAGTAATCACTGTTATGAGAACAATAGCGAGGAGACCCACGTGGTTGGCAAAGGCCCCATCCAGGGAGTAAGTTCATCAGCGACAAAGGCATCACGCGAAAGCAATCCCGGGCGGCAGTCTTTGTGGCATCCAGGGACACAACCGGCAGCTGCACTCGGCCGAGGACAGTCCGGATGTCAAGTGGCCAGCGGGTGACAAGTGTTGCACGACGCTCGAAGGCCGAACGGGAGTGACACGACACAAAACGAGCATGGCTTTGGAATCCTCGAGGTCGTGAACTGCTCATCAGAAATCGGTTGCTCAGAATCCACAGTGGGCAGCACCAAGCGCCAGGCGTGGCCGCGCAACGGGGGCCGCGCAGCGCAAAGTGCCAGGCGGCCGCGGAGGGCTGCCGGGGCCGCGAAAGTGGCTGGGGCGCCTGCAAGGTGCCGGGCTAGGCCGCACAGCACCAGGCAGGCGCGAGCGCAGCAACGGAAGCACCCCGCAGCGGCAGCTGAGCACGACATTGCGGCCAGCGGGGGAGGGAGAAGAGCAGGCGGAGAGGCGGGGGGAGGGTGCAGGGAGGAAGGAAGGAGGCCGACCAGCTACAGGGCGGAGCGCCAGGGTGGCGAACGACGAGGGGGGAGGGAATCCGGGGTGGCAAAAAGCCCGAGCAACGGTGTTCAAATCCAGGGTGGTAAAAAGCCCAGGGAGACGGGTGGAGAAAAGCAATGGACATACACAAACATGTGGAAGACAACGTCCGGTCCAGGTCCAGGTGGCCAGCAACAGCGTGGGATGGGGCGAAACCAACATGCCACACGAGTCCAGGTAAGCCACCAATCACAAAGGTACCAGGGATGGCGTGGGGAAGCGCGCGTGCCGGGCAAGTGGGCGGAAGCCGCATTAAAGAAAACCCTCGACTCCAGCGCGCCGAGGTCGAACGGATCCATGCTGTCCTGGGTGCTGATCATGACACGGTCACTCTTCGCGTTGAGCACAAGCCCGAAGTAAGAGTGCCCCAAGGCATCGCTCGCGCTGCAGCTCAGGCTCGATCGCGCAGCACAAGACCCCCGCAGAAGCTCACGCTGTCGCTGCTGCGACCCCAATCCTTCTTCTCCAGGCACCTCGGCGCAGGAACTCCCGCCCGGATGACCACCTTTGCCGCCGTCGAGGGAACGCCCCGTGGCACATACTCCCGCCAATGCGTCGGTTTAACGGACTTGGCGTCATCGGTAAGAGAAGTAATATGTCCCAGCGTATCCTCAAGAGCGTCAGGGCGGAGGTCGTGAAGCTGCTGGCGGAAGGTTTTCCATAAGCCGCAGGACTCACGAGCGCGCGGCCCCGCGGACCAACTGCAGCACGACGGTTTCAGGAGGATCTTTGCCGCTGGCGCGCCTGTGGGGTTCTGTCTGCCACACCTTCCAGGCCCAGGCGTGGTATCAATGTCAGTGTTGAACGCTTCGGTGAAGGCGATCTCGATTTCCTCTGGCCGAGGCCCCAGGGAGAGGGTTTCCGATAGAAGCCCCGGATCACATAGGCGTAACCTTTTGCACAGGCTTCTCAAGAAGTCGATAAGAATATACACCACATTCCCAAAACAATGTTTGCACTTTGGGGGTCGCACATTTTTTGTTGAGGAACTGGGTTTGCCTCTGTCTGCCTGCCGGCTATGCGGCCGCTGTCGTTGCCCCGTCGCCGCCTCGTCGCCGCCCTCGTCCGGGCCTGTCTGCCGGTCTGGCGGCTATGTGGCCGCCGTCGCCGCCCCATCGCCGCCAGAGGCTCCCCTTCCTTGCGTAAAATAAGATATGCCCCTCCCCCCCCCTGGAGTTAACGGTTTTCATTCCGTTTTGCAATTTACATGCGATTGTGCCCCATTGTCCATCCGAAATGTGAACTCGAACCAAACTGTCACCCCCCCTCATCCTCTGCCAAAGAATGCTATGCACACAAACTCGTCGATCACAAAGCATAAGTTCCAACGAAACCCTTGCAGCAATTCTGCCAAAGTGCTACCTGTCGCAACGATATCAAAAACGAGTGTCCTGAAAACATAAAACAACACATGATAGTGCAACAAATATTTTCCATCAACAGAAAACAACAAAACGAAACAAAAACGTCACTCGAGCTCTTGCGACGTCTGAAGAAAATCCTGCGTTGACCAACGATTCATGATAATATATGTAAACGGGCTTCGCACGAGCGCATGTCAAAATCGTTCGAACGCCACTGCGCGCGCGATGTCGCAAAAATCCGTTTTGCAAGAAATGAAACGAAATAAGCACGCGCGCGTCGTCGCGCACGCATGCCAGAATCCTCCAAAAGCCTCGGGCTTCGCGACACCTGTTTTCAAACAAAACTGGCGCTCGCGCCCTTGAGAATCCCCACGAAAACCAAACGTTGTCTAACTTTGTCTCGTAAAATTATGCCAAATGGGCCTCTCGCGCGCGCATGCCGGAATCAGTCGCACGCCATTGTCCGCGCGTGGTGGGGGGGCACGGTCCGTGTTAAAGCACACCGTGCGGGCCACTCTCGCGCGTCGGCCGCGCGCGCATGTCGAACTCCTTCCAAAACCTGCATCACCGACGCAAGGACGCCGTCATCGTCGTCGGCGCGATTAGCATCGGCGCAGTCACTGGCCGTGCCGTCGTCATTGTTAACACCGCCGCCACCATCGTTACTATTATCATCGTGTCTACCGTTGTCGACGTTGCCATGGTACCGCGCCTGCCCAAGTCGCCGTT